ATTATTATTATTATTATTATTATTACTATATTAAAACTCAATATAATTTTATTTTATTTTTTGAATGTGACAAAAGTATTATTGTCAGCCATTTGGTTGCTCTCATTCTAACACAATTAGCTACCATAGGAACTTGGGGTTTACCTAATAACATATACTTGTGTGAGAACATATGTGTCAACTTAAACTTATGCAATTGTTTTATATATCAGTGTCAGCCTCTTTTGTGTTGACACAAATACATTTGTGTTGTACTTTTCAATATTAGAATCAATGTCAACTTAGCTTACGCATTTGTTTTTCTATTTGCGTCAATTTTCCTTCCATCTGTGTCCATATTTTCTCATGCAAATGGAGTTGCATTCTTGTAGTGTAAGCTATTTATTGATCTACTATAAACTCTTACCTGTGACTATTCCTACACCACTTCCATTCTTATTTGCTATCATTATTCCAACTCCTACCCCAAATTTCATTAACTTTTTTTTCCAACAATTTGTGTTTTGTTTAGGATTGTTGTGCAATACAATAACTGTAAATTTTTTAGTATTTTATTATAAGAAAAATTATATTATTGTTTGATAATTATTTTGAAAAAATAAGTTTTATATATTAATATAACCTTGAAATTATACAAAACATTAAACGAAATCAATTCAATCATAATAAATTAATACTTTTATTGTGAACTGAAACTTCAAGCAAACCCGATAATTAGTAATAACTTCATTGTGAACTACGAAGAACTCATTGCCACGACTGGATGTCTGTGGGTGGCTATTCCTTGGAGCCGGTCCCCATGAGTAGCTCATCCAGTATATGCTATTCTAGCATGTACAGAAACGACTCCTCCAAGTTCAAATCTATCTCAGCTACCTCTGGGGCACCAAAATTACCATTAGTTCAAGCCACAATCATCTAGGTGAAGTAAAGAAAATAAAATGGGAGAAAAGTGGGGGTCGTTCAAAATTACCATCCAGGTGATTGTTCAAAATTCAGCAACTAAACACAACAACCATTTCTTATAAAACAAGATTAATAATTTAGAAAGTGTCTGAATTCTGAAAGTACACCAAGAGTCCAAAAGAAAATAAATTCCATTTACGTACGTAAAGTGAAAACAAAATGGGATTTCGGGAAAAGTTATAAACTGTTTTAAGGTACTTCTAATTAACAAGTCTTTTACTTTGGCGTTACTAGCCATAGTTAAGGCAGCTTTTGACAAAATCTGCTGCTTCAAATGTATGTCTTAATAAGAAGAGAACAAGCAACATCAGACAACCCATTCAATTTATTCTCTTCTTCTCAGATTAATCAACTTAATAGGAATTCCATAGATTAATGAACACCATATTACACATTTCGGTAGCTTATGTCACATTACTCCCGGATGATAAGGAGAAGGAAGAAAACAGAATGAGTATTGTGTGAGTACTGAGTAATGAACCAATTTTAGATATCAAAGACAAACTTTAAAGCAAGGTGATTGTACCTGAAGTGAGGATATGAATATTGGAAAATCAAGGTTGATAACTGAAAGAACAGTCCAACAACTATGCAGTACAACTATTTTGAGATCTTAAGCAAAGGGAAATTTAATTTCACATTACAAAAATTTTACTGTCTCTAAAAGAGAATTACCATAAACTCAGTCAATGATTCAAGCACAATGGAACCCAAAGTTTAACTGCTTGTGAGCATTTGGTATAAAAAAAATTGAAGAAAATTAAAGCATGAAAGAAAATATCAATAATTTGTTTTCAACCATGAAATCTATGAACCTAAAAAAGCTCTCACAAAATTGTGATCGAAATCTAAAATGTAACATTTTCTCGAGGAACCAATCAAAGTAGATCAGACTTTGATCATGTTTGTTCACTTTTGATCTTGTTCTTCGTAGGTTTAGAAGGTATCTTTCCATATGCCTTGAGCCTTCCATCTGATAACTTAAGGTTCTTGACAACGCCTTTCCTTGGCTTTCTTAGACTCATTGGACATATCACCATTCAATCCCTCAGTTTGTGCTTCGTCGTCTCCCTTCTCAGTTGAACTAGATACCAGTTTCTTAGCAGACTCCCTTTTCCTCTTCAATCTTCAATCCAAATCTATTTGGGTTAATCTTCACATGCTTGAATCTTGTTTTTGTTGGGAAAAATGGCGCAGCAAAATAAAATAATTCCTATGAATAAAACACGTGAACAATAACAAAGAACGGTGAAACAGGCGGTTTAGTCGACCAATATTAACGGTTAGTGAAAAAGGCAGCTTAGTCGACCAAGCAAAATAAAATGGGCGGTTCAACCTGCCACTTAAGAAATATAAATAAAATGGGCGTTTCAACCAGCAACTTAAGCGGGAAAATAAACAAGCAACATAACACCAAATTTTACGTGGAAAAACCCCCCGAAAAACCCCCCAAAAAACTATTGAGGGAAAAAACCACGGGACAAACTCCGAAGGGTATTCCACTATATGATAAAATTGTACAGA